TATCATGTAAATTAGGTAATTAATATGCACGGATTTTTACCAAAAATTAATCAAATCTGCGCATATGTTCAGAGCATCTATGTACCAAGTTTCATCAAAATCCAATGAGTGGTTCTTTAGATATCAGTGGAACAGTCATAGAACAGCTAAAAATTAGCTAATTATCATGCAAATTAGGTAATTAACGAGCATGGATTTTTACCAAAACCTAATCAAATCTGCGCATTGGCCCAGAGCATCTATGCACCAAGTTTCATCAAAAACCGATGTATGGTTCTTGAGATAGCAGTGGAACAGTCGGACACACATACACACACACATACACACATACACACATACACACATACAGACACACTAACTGCAAAGACTCCCATTTTGTGCTTCGCACATGGGAGTCAAAAACTAAAATTACAATTAGAGATTGACAGTTTTTCCACCTCTACTTTTAAATATAGACCTCTTATATACTATTGACCCAACAAACCTATTTCCTTCATTTTCATGAATCTGAAATGAGATATTTTTGGATGAAATGACAATGGAACTTTTTCAAATGACACAATTACATACTACACTCATTGATTAGCTATTTGGTTTCAACTGCAAATGAAATGTATGAATATTCATAAAAATGAAGGGAATGGGTTTGTTGTGTCAACAGTAAAATTCTGACACGCATTTCATCATAGTATTCTGTCTTATTTTGTAGCCCCATGTCACTAAATTAACAAGTCATTGAAAATGACACAGTCCCGTAAAATTTTTGAAAGTTCTCTTTGTGCTCGTCATATTAAAGCAGAGGGGTTGTCGCAAGCGTGTCTTTGAAACTTGAGTTCCAAGTGGCGCATACAACAGATTGTTTATTTACATCAAAACACGAGTTCTTTGTAGTAGTAATATGGCCAAAAATAAAAACAGCCATTATTCGGCCATCTTTGATCTGATTATGAAACACACTGATATGTATGATGTATGTGTACATAAATTGTGGAAATATAGCAGTAAGGTCAAAAAGTCAGATGGCTGTCAATCGGCCATCCTTGACCAGATTTTGAAACAAATTGTCATGGACATGCATCCTAACATGTATAAAGTACATGTATGTGCCAAATTTGAATGAAAACTGACAGAGCACGTCCAAGATACCGCATAAAAAAAAAAAACAAGATACCTGCCAGTCGACCATCTTTGATCCAATTGTGAAATAAATCGTCATGGACATGTATCCCAACATGTATAATCTATGTACCAAGTTTGAATGAAAACTGACAAAGCATGTCCAAAATACAACATTTTCAAAAAACAAGATGGCTGCCAGTCGGCCATTTTGAATCAAATCGCTAAACCACTGCATGTGCCCCACATAAAGTACTAGGCACATGCAAAGAATGAACGGAATCGGTCAAAGGGATTCTGAGATATGACTTCGGACAGACGGGGACCGAATTATAAGTCCCCGTTTTCGGACTTCGTCCGAACGGGGACTAATAATACTTAATGAGCTGGTATTGTTCTCATAAGATGAAATATGGAATGTAATCCCTTGGACTGGCCCAAATAGACTTAAAAATGAGCTTTACCTTTCTCATATTTTCTAAGTCATACTTATTGCCGACTAAAACAATAGGTATATCATCTGTCTTTCTCACACGTTCTATTAACTTTTTCACCTCAGCAGCTTCTTGAAAACTCCGCCTGTCTGTGATTGAGTAGCATATAATAAAGCCTTCCCCACCTCTCATATACTGATCTCTCATGGCAGTAAATTCAGCCTGTGTAAAACAAAAGCAAAAAAGACAGTGAACAATAAGAAATTAATTTGCAACAAAAGTTACAGCACAATAAAAGAGGTTTGAGTTCAGCCATTACCATAGAAACTTAGGGTCTAGTGTAAAAATGCTCCAATTTCGTCTATGTCCAGGGGTGCCACATAAATGTTTAATAGCACATTAGATTGACAGGAACCGGAGAAACTAGTAAACAAATTTTGCGAGTTAGAAATCAACACCCCAATCTTGCACGGAAACTAAATGATGACACTATAACTCAAATCTGTCTATTGGTTTGTCATTGTAGCAATAATAAACAAATGATTTTTGTCAAAATTGTGGGGGGGGGGGTCTCTAAAGTGCAATAAAAGATTCTGTTTTATATATAATACAATCCAACATGTGCACAATTTAGAGTGAAATTAATACCTGTCCTGCTGTGTCAAGTATATCTAATAAACCAGTCTCTCCATCTATCCTAACTTGCTGTTGGTAAGCATCCTCTGCAAACAATAAATTAAAAGGAGAAACATTAGAAATTACTGGCTGTGGAGATTCAACCTAATAGCCTAATAAC